ACTTGGGGGGCCATGGCCGTTGGGGAGGAAACGGCCCTTGGGCAAGCACGGCCAGAGGGAGATGGTATCTGCATCCCAACATCCCCTCAGCACCTCTCTGCACCCACAGCACCCACCCCCCCCCCCAGACACGCTGTGCCCCACACACCCACCCTCACCCCTCGGACTCGAGCAGCCCCCACCTCTGTGCCCCTAGCCCCCGCTTTCCCTCCACCCCTGTTGTCCCTCCAGTGCCCCCCCCCATGTCCCCCTGATGTCCCCAAGTCCAGGCTGGGGTGGCGCAAGACTGTGGTGGGAACATGGGGCTCGTCACCCTTATAAAGGCGACAGCAGGCAGATCCCCCCAGCCTCCAGGTGAGGAGCAGAGACGAGAGCGTGGGGTGGGCTCAGCCCACGGCTGCTGGGGCTGGGGTCAGGGGTGGGCGTCCCTGAGGCTAGCACGAGGGGCTCTGGAGTGCCAGGGGGAGATGGGGGTGGCACAGGGAATGGCAGAGGGACATGGGGAACAGAGAGGCAGACTGGGGTGAGGGTCACGGGTTGGCACCAGATGAGGCAGAGGTTCAGTGGGGACACGGGCTGTTGCAGAGCAGATGTGGGGAGGATGGGTTGTCACCAAGGGTGACACAGGGGCTCTGGACCATGGGGGTGTCCTCAGGGTGGCTGAGGGTAACAGGGCTGTGGTATCTCCCAAGGGTGCCAGTGGTGTCCCCAGTGTCCCTGTGTGTCTCCACACCATGTGGCCCTGCCTGCTGCTCGCCCTGGCCCTGCTGGGCACTGTCCCCACCAGCCACCCCAGTGAGTGCCCTCCACACCCCTACCTGCCCATGGGGACATCTTGGGGGCACCCTCAGTCCCTGCCACCTCACTGCCATTCCCACCTCTCCAGTGCTGTGCGGCCAGGGCTGGCAGCAGGTGGCAGAGGGACCCTGGTGACAGCCCTCACACCCTTTGTCCTCCAGCCCCCCCCCAGCCTCAGGGGCTCCCCGCTGCCGAGGCCATCCCTCAGCGTTACTACGCGGTGGTGAAGAGGCTGCGCACCTACTCAGGTGCCCAGGTAAGGGGACGTGGGGCACGGTTGGGTGCCAGGGGTTACGGGGCCCACTGCAGAGCGGCGGTGCCGGGAGGTGCCAGCAGGCGCAGGTGCGTACAGGGGTGCGGAGGCACGGGTGGGAGCGGTGGGTGCCAGGCTGTGCCTGTCCCCAGGCCTACTGCCAGGATGTGTACCGGGGCCAGCTGGCCTCGCTGCACAGCGCCGCCCGCAACCAGGAGCTGCAGAAACTGGCCCGCACCTACACCTACTTCGCTGTCTGGATCGGGGCCGTCACCAGCCGAAAGGTGAGGGGGCACCAGGGGGGCGCCTGGGCTGGCCAAGGGCGCTGGGACCAGTCTAGGGGCACGAGGGGCTGGGCGTGGAGTGCAGGGGCTGCTTTTTGGAGGTGAGGGTCTAGGTAGGGGGCCTGTGGCTGGCTAGAGGCTGCTGAGTACCAGGCACTAAGTGCTGGGCCTGGATTTTGGGAGATGAACCGCGATATGGGATACTGGGGATGGGGACTGGATTCTGAGGGGTGAGGAGCTGGGTAGGGTTGCTGGGGCTGGTTTTGGGGGGATGAGGGGCTGGGTATGGGGATGCTGGAGGCTGTCCCTGGGGTCTGTTGCTGGGGGCTGAGGCGTTGCCGTGGCAGACAGGGAAGTGGGAGTCGTGCTGGGAGGACTCCAGCCCCTGGAACTACGCCAACTGGGCACCCACCCACCCCTGCCACATTGTGACCACCTGCACCACCCTCAGCACCCGAGGTGAGGGCATCCACACCTCCCCACCCACCATCCTGGGCACCTGGGCTCGGGAGCCACAGGGCTACTGGAGACACTGGGGAAGCCAGTGTCTTGGAGCCCAGACACTGGGAGGGGGCACAGGGCTACTGGGAGCAATGGGAGGGGATTCAGGGCTACTTGGGGCACTGGGAGGGCATTGGGAGGGAGCTGCAGGGCATTGGGGGCACTTGGAGGGGCTTAGGGGGCACTGGGGGCCACCGGGAGGGTTACAGAGGGGCCCTGGGGTCCACCCCATGGCCCTGACCTCTGTCCCTGTTCCCAGATGGGCTCTGGCGCAGCCGCCCCTGTTTCGAGCTGCGCCCCTTCATCTGCCAGTACTGAACTCCCAGTGCTGCTGTTGCCCCCCAGTTCCCTTTCCAGTAAAGCAGAGGTGCCCTGAGCCATGTCTGTGTGTGCAGGAGGCCTGGGGAGGGGATTGGGGGGGGCAGCACAGCACGTGGAGGGGGCAGCGATGTTTATTACCCCTAAACTCCCCCATCCCACTGGCACAGTACCCCCAGGCCAGTACAAAAAGGGGGTGCTGGGTGCCAGGTTCCTGGCAGGTGCAGGGCTCAGTGAGGCATCTCGGCGGGGGTCTCGGCGGCAGGGGGGGCTGTGAGGGGGGTACCAGCTGCCTCCAGCTCCTTGGCTCGCCGCCGGCACTGGCGAGCCACCACCACAGGGCTGACAAAGGCCACCAGCACCACGGCGATGAGCCCTAAGTTCACCTGGGGAGGGGGGCGTGTCAGGGAAGGGGGCCAGGGGGCTGACCCCACCCAAGGGGGGCCCATGGGCCAGCCCCATGGCCACCCCAGTCCCCTGTGCTAGGCCAGGACCCCCATTTCCCCAGGGCATGACACCCACCCTAGTGTGGGGCGGGACCCCCATCCCTCCCAGGGCTGGACCTTCATTTCCCCATGGGGCAGGAGTCCCACCTTACTGTGTGTGGGACAGCACCCTCAAATCCCTCCCTGGGCAGGACCCCCATTCCCCCAGGGTCAGGACTCCCATCCTTCCCCAGAGCAGTACCCTCATTCCCTTGTGGAGCAGGGGAATGTTCCCGATGGATCAGGCCCCTCACCCATCAGGGAGGGGCCTCAGGATGCACTCACATAGAATGGGTCCCCTTGGAGAGGCCCCTGCACCAGGGCAACACAGGGGTACTGCAGGAGGGCCACCACCGCCGACAGTGCCATGGCCAGCCCGTACAGCTTCCCAAAGTGCTGTGGAGGGAACCTGCCGGGCACCCCCGTCACTACCGGGCATCCCCTGGCACCCTGACCCCGGCACCCCACCCAGCACTCTCCCGACACCCTGACCCTGGCAGCCCCATTCTGACACTCTGTTGGCACTGCCACCACGATACCCTGTCCTCTGACATCCTCAACCGTGCCACCACCCCTGCCACCACCCCTGCCACCACCACCATGTCCCCTGCCATGCCCCAGCACCACCAGCATCCTCTGTCACCACCACGTCCCCTTCCACCCTCTGTCCCCAATACCCTCCCCTGCCACCCCTGCCCTGACCCCACCACCCCATCCCCTGCCACCACCATCCTGTCCCCTGGCACTCCAAGCCCCATGAACATCCTGTGCCACCCCTGCACCAACCCGGTTGCCCTGTCCCCTGCCACCCTCACGATGACCCTGCCACCATCCCCTGCCACCCTCACGATGACCCTGCCACCATCCCCTGCCACCTCTGCCCAGACCCCTGCCACCCCCAGCCCGTCCCATGGCACCCCCACAATGGCGCTGTGGCCATGCCCTGGCACTCACGCGATGGCCAGGAAGGCGGCGTTGCCGCCATACAGGAAGGAGCGGCTGATCACCTGCAGCACAAAGGTGGCGAACTGGACCTGCAGGATGGGCACGGCAGCGCACACAGAGAACAGCAGGCACTGCACCACCGTCACCACCAGTGACACCACCGCGGCACGTAGGTCTGCCAGCGCGCCCCGGGCACCTGTGAGCACAGGGGTCAGGCCACGGGGACACAGCCCCCTCCCCAAGTGCCACAGGGCTCAGGCACAGGGGCACAGGGATCACCCCCAGGGCTGGAGGGATGGTTACCCCCAGGGTGGGGGGCCAGAAGGGGTAGTTCCACTAGGGGTAGGGGTTCTGGGGGCTCAGTTCCCCTCGGAGCTGGGTAATGAGGACAGTTACCCTCGGGGCGGCGGCGCTTGCCCCGCTTGTGCCAGTCGAGGATGAGGCCGTTCCAGGGGGCACAGAGCACCCCACAGAGCTGGGTGAAGGCGAAGGCATTGGTGTAGGTGCTCACTGAGGATGGGATGACAGCGTCAAGCAGGAGCCGGCCCCGAGGGTGCCCGCCGTGCCCTCCGCGGTGCCTTACCCGCGTTGAAGTCCCCTTGTGACAGGCGCTCGAGTAGCGGGTTGAGGGTACCGATGAACAGGTAGTGGCGCAGCTGCATGACGGAGAGCCAGGCCACGTGCCAGGCAAAGAGCCACGAGCACGCGCAGGCCCGGAACGTCGTCCCGGGGGGGGTTTCACCTGCACAGGTATCAGGGCAGGGCACACGGGAACACGCCCCTCCCGGCCCCACCCACCTGATGTGCTGATGTACCTTGTCCCTCCCACCCGCTGGGACCCTCCCCAATCCACCTGTATGACCACACCCCTTCACCTGCATTGCCACGCCCACCCTCTGACCGTGCCCCAAACCACCACACCCACTCTCAGGCTCCACCCCATTCACATGCAAATTAATGTCTCCAACCACGCCTATGACAAACCACACTCCCTTCATCTGCATAATAGACCTCGCCCATTCCGTAACCACGCCCATTGGGCCAAACCCCTCCCCACCACCCGCAGTAAGCCCCCGCCCCCCGACGAGCCCCGCCTCCTCAGACCAGATCCCCACTCCCGGCACCTCGAGGAATGGGGGGCTCCAGGGGGATCTCCTCGGGGCCGTCCTCCCCTGGGGGCCTCTTCTCCTCGTAGGTGCGGTAGGAGCGGGAGCGCCTTGGCCATTGCAGCCTGTGGCAGTGGCCGTGTCACCTGCTGCCCACAGGGTGGGACCCACCCCCAGCAGGGCACAGTCAGCCCCCCTCGTACCCATAGTCGTAGGCGGGGGGCAGCGGGTAAGGGATGCGGGTGCGTGGCATCAAGAAGAGGGTGCGCAGCAGGTGCCAGGCACTGCAGGCTGCCAGGAAGAGGAACATGGCTTGCAGGGACAGCCCCTGTGCGTACAGCAGCTGGGGACAGGGACAGAGTCAGGAACAGGGACAGGCTGCCACTGGCCACCATGGCCACCTGCTCAGGCCCTGGGCCTGTCCCTACATGTGGCCCCTGCAGTGGATCAACTCTGTCCTAGGCTATGTCCCCAGTATTTCCACAACTGTGACCCAGCTGTGTCCCCAGCACATCCCTAGCTGTGTCCACAGCTGTGTCCCCAATATGTCCCCTGATATCACCCAATCGTCCCCAGCTCTGTCCTCCACCCTTCACCTTCCACCACCACCACCACACCCCGCCCACCCTGTGCCCACCTTGATGATGAGGAAGATGGCAGAGGAGGAGTCGAAGGCACCATTGTAGAGGGTGATGATGATGGAGCGGTACTTCCCAAACAGGTTGCCAACCTGGCACCAAGACACAGCCCCCTATGCCATCAGGGTCCCCCGTGCTGGGCAGGTTGCCCCTGCCACTGGGTGGGAGTTGGGTTGCCGGGGGAACCCACCTGCATGTTGGTGAGGATGAGGAGGATGCCACCCACCGACAGCATAGACATGGCCGGGAAAAGCAGCACTGCCAGCTCTGGGGACACAGGGGTCAGCAGGGACAGTGGGGATCCCCAGTAGGTCCCCCACAGTGCTGGGGTCCCCCTCTGTCCACAGGGTCTCACCTGGGGTGGAGAAGGCGACGAGGAGGGTCCCGCCGGCGTAGAGGGAGCTGAGGGGACAGCGGTGACACATGGGGATGATGTCTTGGGGAACACAGGTGACCCCAGCCCCACAGGTGCCCCTTGTGCCATCAGGACCTTCCTGCCCCATCCTACCTGGATACCCCTCATCTCTCCCCAGCCCCCCGTCCCCCCCAGCACAGGGCTCACATGGCGATGAGGCGAGCAGCCAGGGTGCCAAAGCGGTCGAAGACGACGCCCATGGGGAAGGTCATGAAGTTGTTCATGAAGGAGCCGATAGTGAAGACCAGGGAGAACTGCTCATCCTGCGCACTGCAGTCTGGGGATGACGGTCAGTGAGGCGTGGGGATGGGGGGACACAGGGACAATGGGTGTGGGGACTCTGGGGACACCAGGGATGAGGGGATGCAGGGACCCACTGGCACAGGAACACTAGACAGTAGGAACCCAGGGAAACACTGGGAATGTGGGAACACTAGGGACGTGAGGATACTGGAGACATGGGTGGGGTCTAGTAGGGACATGGGCATGGAGACAGTGGGGACGGGGATACTGCAGGGATCAGCAGGACATTAGTGAGCATGGGGACAGTAGAGACTAAGGCAAAGGGACAGTGGGAACACCAGGTACGTAAGGGCATCTCGACATTGGGACACGAGGACAGGGACAGGCAGGGTTCCCTACCGAGCCCCTGAGTGTGGTTGGTGGGGGAGGGCTGGCATAGCCACCGGAAGTAGCCAAGTTCCTTAAGGACAAAGACGAGGGAGGCCCAGCCGAAGATGATGCCACAGAAGGCGCCGCACTCCAGCAGCCCCGACACAAAGGTACCCAGACGCTTGGCCAGTCCCGCGCCCTCCGCCATGTCACCCGCCCGGGCAGCCACCGGCCTGGGCTGTCACTGGCCTGGGGCGTCTCCGCCGAGCCTGCGGGTGACAAATGCTGGCTGGCACCCGCTAGGGGCATGGGGACACGTGGGGGTGCGCGGGGGCACACAGCGGCACGTGGCCACCCGAGCAAAGGCCACCGTGGCCCCAGCTCTGCCCCTTGTCCCTGGCCACAGCAGCTGGCACCAGTGTCCCTCCCCATGCCAGGGCACAGGGGAGGACCTGCGGCTTGCACACACAGACACACATGTTTACATGTTTACATGTTTACATGTGTGCACACCCATGTACAGGCACACACATGTGTTTACATGTGTGCACACCTGTATTTATGCACAAACACGTTTGCATGCACACACATACATTCACATTTACACGCTCCCGTTCACAGGCACACACACATGTTTGCATGCACACACCTGTTTATAGACACGCACATGTTTACAGGCACACACATGTTCACATGCACACACACATTCACAGGCATACACACACAACCATGCCTGCTGGCCCCCCTCCTGCACCCCTCACCTGCACGAGGCCAGGGCCCCCTGTTGTCACTGTCACCGCCGCCACGGTGTTTGAACCCCAGCAGGGTGGCCCAGGTGCCTC